GGCCCCCCCCCCGGGGGGGGGGCCCCCCCCAGCGACTGGCGGGGGCCCCCCGGGGGCCCCCCGGGGGGCCCCCCCGGGGGCCCCCCCGAGCCGGGGCCCCTGCAGCCGCAGGGGCAGCTGGGGACGGACTTCATGCGAAACGTGCCGCAAGTGCCGGGGATCCCGCAGAACTGCGTGAAGGGGGGCAGCACTTTGTTCAGCCTGTTGGGGCTGCTGCTGTTCCTGCTGCTGTGCTGCAGCAGCGTGCTGCAGTGGTGGAAAGAAGCAGTTTTTGCAGAAGAGGTGACCCTGGAGCCGGAAAAGGATGTCAGTCTGAACCTTAAGAACTGCGGGGTGGCCTTCAGGGCCTCGGGGGGCCCCCGGAGCTTCCTGCGGGTGCGGGCCTGGCTGCAGGAGCGCGCAGCGAGCCAGGCGGGGGCCCCCGTGCTGCGGAGGGGCCCCCAGGGGCAGCTGCAGGTGCTGCTGCACATGGGGAACTTCGACCCGTGGCACAAGTGCTCCGTGGACTTCTTCCTGGCCCCTGGCTTTCGCTTCGGGGCCCTCGCGCTGCTCTTCGCCCCCGCAGACCGCTACATCTCCGTTTCCGCACAAGTCCCCCTCAGGGGGGCCTCCGTCTTCGTGGAGGCTTTCCACGCCTATGTGCAGCTTCGCTCTGTGGAGGCCCGGGCCATGAGCTTCACTCTGAGTGCGGGCCATTTGTACTTGGAGTTAGACGGGCCTGCTGCGGCCTATGGCCGCAGCCCCATAGCCATAGTGTCCCGCACAGCCCAAGTCCACGTGGTGTCGCAGTACCCGCTGAGTCTGGCCATGAGCGCGGAGACCGCGGCCGCGAGCCTCTTCAGGGCCTCCGGCAGCGTCCGCGTCGCGCTCCCCAGCAGCAGCAGCAGCAGCAGCAGCAGCAGCAGCAGCAGCAGGGAGGCGCGGGCGCTGCTGCAGCCGGCGGACGTGGCCGCGCTCTTCGCGGGCCTCATGAGCCTCCAGCTGGACATAGACGCAGAAGAGTCTGCAGTCTATGCCACCGCCAGGGGGGCCCACGAAGACCCCGAGTGGCCCATGCACACCTGGGCCGGAGTGGACCAGCAGCGGAAGCCCCACCTGGACCACTACTCGCTGCTGCGGGTGCGCAGCGCGCTGCAGTGGCTGCGCGAAGACCCCGCGGCCCCCTGGATCATACGGGTGGACCAGGCTGGTCTGGACCACCCGGGCAGCTGGCGAGTCCTCAGCAGCAACGCCTACCTCCGCTCTGTTTACTGGTTCGTGCTGCTGTCGGGGGGGATGCTGCAGCCGCGGGTGCTGCACCTCCCGCTGCAGACCCGCGGCCTCTTCTGCCGCGGCCACATTGACCAGCAAGATGATGTTCTCCCAGACATCATCACTTCTTCCGAAGACTCGCTCCTCCAGTCCCTCCTTTCCTTCCTCTGGCCCACCCAAAACGTCAAGTCCATCAGCCAGCGCCCCGGCCGCTTCCTCGAACCCGCAAACCCCCCGCAGGGGGGCCCCCAGGGGGGGCCCCAGGGGGGCCCCCAGGGGGGGCCCCAGGAAGGGGCCCCAAACAGCAGCGCGGACCCGCCCCACGCGCAACACGCAGCTGCAGCAGCTGCAGCAGCAGCAGCAGCAGCGGCAGCAGCGCCCGCAGCACTCGTGCCGCCCCCCACCGCCTACGCCGACGCGGACGCGCAGGGACCCGATCCCGCAGCCCCAGTGAGTCCTCCTAACATCTCCAAACCCTAAACCCTAAACCCTAAACCCTCGCCACCGAGACGCACCGCCGGGCGACGGCCAGCCAGAAACCCTAAACCGCAAACCCTGGAAGCGAAACCCACGACCACCAAGCGGCGCCACGCCGGCACCCAACAAAACCCCAAACCCTAAACCCTAAACCCTAAACCCTAACGCTGCGTCTCAGGCGCGGCGGCTGGCGGAGGGCGAGGACAAGGAGAGCGAGGCCGTGGGGGGCGAATACGTGGGGCTGGTGAAGGGCCCCGGGCAGTGCAAAGAAGATATTGTTGAAGACGCCTTTTTGGTGTTGTGGGAGGCCCTCGCAGAGGCCCGCACTCAAAGCACTCTTTTCGTTTGGAGCAAAAACTCCACTTCTCCCCAAATCCGCTTCGCCGTCCTCAACGACGCCCTCATCAAAGTCCACGTCTCGTGAGCCCCACGCGCCGCTAGCTAGCTAGCCAGCGCTGGCTAGCTGCGGATAGGTAGCTCGGGATAGCTAGCTCGGGACGGCTAGATCGGGGTAGCTAGCTGGGGCCGACTAGCGGTGGCAAGATAGCTGTGGGTAGCTAGCGGTGGCAGGGTAGCTGTGGCTAGCTAGCAGTGGCGAGATATCTGTGGCGAAGTAGCTGTGGCTGGCTTTCTGTGGCTAGCTAGCGATGGCAGTACAGCTCTGACTAGCTGCCAGCTAGCTAGCTGGCTAGCTAGCTATCTGAGTTGGTGGAGGGCGGGCGAGCTAGCTGTGTGCGGCTATCTGTGGCTGGCTAGCGATGGCAGTACAGCTGTGGCTAGCTGCCAGCCAGCTAGCCAGCCAGCTAGCCAGCCAGCTAGCCAGCCAGCTAGCCAGCCAGCTAGCCAGCCAGCTAGCTAGCCAGCTGACGGCGGAGGCGGTGCGTGCAGGCTGCGGGACACATGGTCCTTCGTGGTGGCCATCGTCATCAGCATTTTGGCCGCCCTCGCCCTCGCCTGCGGGGCCGTCTACGTTTGCTTCAGCAATCTCCTGCCTCGCCTGCGAAAGGCCCACACGGACGCCATCGTCATGCGCGCGGCCAGCCACAGACTCGACCACGAGCTGCCCTGTGAGCCCGCCCCGCCCCATCCACGGGGCCCCAGGGGGGCCCCCAGGGGGGCCCCCAGGGGGGCCCCCAGGGGGGCCCCCAGGGGGCCCTCAGGGCTCCCGGACACTCCCAGGGCCCCCGCGGGTCCCCCGGGGACCTCCGGAGCTGCCGGGGAGCCTCTGGGGGGCTTCGCGGAGACTAGAGGCTCCCTTGGGAAGCCCACGGCTGTAGATAGCTAGGGCCCTCGGGGGCCCTGGAGGCCCCGCGGGCCCTCGGGGGCCCCTAGAGCCCCCAAGCACCCCTCCCAAGTGCTAGTGCCCACCGAGGGCCCCCTGTAGCTTTTTGCGTGGGCACTTGAGGGGCCCCTCGCAGCCTTGTAGAGCCCCTGCGCGCGCGCACGGCCTGGGGGCCCCCCTGAGTCGCAGCGGCGCGCCCCACTGCTGCTTCGGGGACCCCCAGGGGCCCCCAGGGGCCCCCAAGGGCCCCCAGGGGCCCCTAGGGGCCCCCGGAGGCCGGCAGGGGCCCCTGGAGGGCTGGGTAGTGTGTGAGAAAGGCGGGTTTTGGCGGAGAGGCGCTTGGGGGTTTGGGGGTGGGGGTTTGCGTGCAGCGGCGCTGAGCGCGGCGGAGGCGGGGGCGTGGAACCTGATGGTGGTACCAGTGGACCACCCGGCGCACGGGATTTTGCTGCGGTGGTCCACTGGGGACTGCCCGCAGCCCGCAGCGTGGATGGGAGTGCACATGAAGCCAGCGCTGGCTGCGTGGGCGGACGCAGCCAATGACCGCAGCCGCATGGCGGAGTGCAGCAAAGAAGAAATTTATGTTTACTTGAACACGAGCAAAGTGACTTCGGTGCACGAGTTCGGACTTAACCAAAAAGAGCTGTTTTTGCCTTCGCGGCACCCCGGGCCCGTCCACCTCGAAGTCGCGCAGGACTACGAACTCCAAATGCACAAAAAGTACAGAGTCCGGCTGATCTTCTTCAGCGCGCAGGGGCGGCTCATTGACCAGAGTCGCTGGTCCGCAGAGTTCATCTTGGGGCCCCGCCTCTCCATCACGGACTACCCTTTGCTGCTCCTCAGCAAGTGCGTCCCCACCCGCGTTTCTTCCCTCGACATTTTCCTCCGCAAGTTCGCAAAGACCGCCAGCCACTTCTCCATCCCCATCGAGCTCGAGGACCTCCAGCTCCACGTCTTCGCAGTCCCCTGCCAAGACCCCAGCGTCTACGCTCCCGGCAGGTCCGCATGCATGCACGCATGCATGCACGCATGCATGCACGCATGCATGCACGCATGCATGCATGCATGCATGTGTGCATGCATGCATGCGTGCATGCATGCATGCATACGTGCAGGCACGCGTGCGTGCAGCGCTGCATGCAGGCTGCGCATGCGCGTGGCGCCTGCGTCCACTCTGTGCATGCAACGTAGACGCAAACACACATGCATGCGAGCACCCGCGCATGCATCATGCATGCATGCATGCATGCATGCATGCATGCCTGCATGCATGCGCAGTCTGCATGCATGGGCGACGCGGCTGTGTTTTGGGGCTTTGCAGCGCCTTGGGCCGCAAACGCACGGTTTCTTTTGACCACGGTCATTCCCGCGTCTTCTCGCAGCTCGTGGACTCTCTCAAACAAACGGAGTGCAGGTTTACAGTGGCGGCTCACTTCGGCCAGAAAGCCCATTTAGTAAGCCTTGCCCGAGGGCCCAAGGGGCCCCCAAGAGCCACGGGGCCCCCCGGGGCCCCACGTGGGACCCTCCGGCAGTCACAGAGGGGCCCCTGGGCTCCCCTAGGAGGAGCCCTTAACCCCACATGGGGCCCCCGTGGGGGCAGCAGGGGACAGTTCTAGAGCCAGGGGCCCCTAAGGATTCTCCAGTGGAGCGATGGGGCTGCTGCAGTTGCTGCTGCTGCAGCTGCTGCTGCAGCTGCTGCTGCAGCTGCTGCTGCAGCTGTGGGCCCTCCCCTGCCGCCCAAATCCTGGCTTTTGATGAGTAGCGCATGCGTGCATGCGCCAGTTGGAGTGGGGGCCTGTGCAGCTTTCTGTGGAGATGCACTTTGAATTTCTTTCCAAACGAAGCAATGTTTGCCCTTTTCCCTGCAAAAACAAAGACAAACGCATGCAAACTGTGCATGCACTTCGCTGGCTGCTGCAGGCAAGAGAAGTCGCCATGCGCACTGGCAGGCGAGTCTACTCAGACGTTTCCTTTCGGGGGCGGCCAACGCTGGTGACGCCTTCGGAGTTGCGCGACGCGGACCGCCAGGTGGGTGCATGCATGCGTTTGGGGCTTTTGGGGGCCCCTCTGGGGGCCCCTTGGGGGGCCTCTCTGGGGGCCCCTTGGGGGGCCCCTCTGGGGGCCCCTTGGGAGCCCCTTTGGGGTTCTAGGGGCCCCCAGGGGGGCCCCTGAGCGGCCCCCGTTCGGGGCCCTCTTTACCTCGGACTTGAGGGCTTCTGTGGGCCCTTCTGTCCCCGAGTGTGTGCATCTGTTTATCTGTGGGGCCCCACACCTCTGCCCCAGCAAGCCATTTTTCCTGTTTGTGTCTTAGGGTTTAGCTGCAAGTCTTGGGCCTTTTTTGTGGGCCTAAAGACTCGCTTGTGGGATTAATCTTTGCCCAGCTGCATGCATTAGTTTGTGTAGAAGTGGCGATTTGCAAACACCAATAGCAGCAGATAATGCATGCGTATTGCATGCGTTTTGCACGGGAGTCCCCACAGCGCCTAAGGCCCGCTGCTGCTGCTGCTGCCGCTGCTGCTGCTGCTGCTGCTGCTGCTCTTTGCTGCCTCCAGGCCTATGCCTACTTGACTTGTCCTGGGCAAACTTTCCGGCTAGACAGAGACAGAATAGCGCAGCACGTGATTGGCTTTGAAGTCTCCGACGAAGGCACTGGACAAGTTCTGGCTTTTGGAGTTATTCGATTCGAAGACCTTTACCAAATTGTCAAAGACGCCATGCAAGACGGCGCTTCCGGCGGTGAGCTTTCAACCCTTAGTTGCTGCTCTGCTGCTGCATGCAGAGGGGCCCCTGCATGCAGAGGGGCCCCTGCATGCAGAGGGGCCCCTGCATGCAGAGGAGCCCCTGCATGCAGAGGAGCCCCTGCATGCAGAGGGGCCCCTGCATGCAGAGGGGCCCCTGCATGCAGAGGGGCCCCTGCATGCAGAGGGGGCCCTGCATGCAGAGGGGCCCCTGCATGCAGAGGGGCCCCTGCATGCAGAGGGGGCCCTGCATGCAGAGGAGGCCCTGCATGCAGAGGAGGCCCTGCATGCAGAGGGGGCCCTGCATGCACAATAGTGTGGGGGGGCTGAGGGGAGTTTGCTGCTCCTGGGGAAAGGAGACAGCTAGGGATAGCTCAGCAGCAAGTGCCAGCGGAGCCCCCGGGCTTTGCTGCTGGGGGCCCTCAAAAGCGCCTCTAGGGGCTTTCGAGGGTTTCAGCAACTTGCGCGCTAGGGTTTAGGGTTTAGGGTTTAGGGTTTAGGGTTTAGGGCTTAGAGCCGAGGGCTAGGCCCAGCAAGCTGCAGCGTAGACACATGCATGCAAACTCGGGGCCGTGGAGGAAGTGTAGCTCGAGCTAGGGCCTCAATAATTGGCTGTTAACTCTTTCTAAGGGGCCCCCAGCTGCTGCGTGGGGCTGCAAGGTTTCTTTGTAGTAACTTTATTTATAGTAATATTAAGTTTAAATTGTTTATATGTTTTAATTGCGCAGGGGCCCCCCAAGACCCGTCATACCCAGCGCGCCACAGCCGATTCAGAGTGGGCCTTGAGCATGTGGACGGGAGGGGCCCCTGGGGCCGCCTGGAGTGCAGTTTGGAGATTAAGCACATCAAGGCTTATATCAGGTGGGCTGTTGCTGCTGTTGCTGCTGTTGCTGCTGCTGCTGCTGCTGCTGCTGCTGCTGCTGCTCGTATGTGCGGCTACAGCTGCTGATGCGTCTGTGGCTGGGCTGCGAAGCAACCAGAGA